TACAGACCTTCACATCTTCGACGCAGGTTCAGTCAACGGGACCCGTTATTGTAACGAGATTCTTCTTCCATATGTGCGTCTTTTTAGAGGCGCTATGGGTTCGCAGTTCCTTTTCATGGACGACAATGCACCATGTCATCGCACAGTAGCTGCCGAACAGCTCTTAGAGAGTGAGGATATTGAACGTATGGATTGGCCGGCAGCATCTCCGGATCTCAATCCCATCGAGCATGTATGGGATTTTCTAGGCAGACGCTTGGCAGCTCGTACCTTACCACCAGTAACGATTCCGGAGCTTCGATTGGCGCTGCAAGACGAATGGGCAGCAATGCCTCAACAACTCATTGACACCCTCATTCTCAGCATGGGCAGACGCTGTGAAACCTGCCTAGCAGTCAGGGGAGATCATATCCCCTATTAAAGACCGGATGTTTCTTGCTGGACACCCATCACAGGGATGTTTCGGCCTTCAGTCGCATTGCGCTCCATGCTACGTTTTCCATAAAGCTTTTTTTTATCCCTCTGATTTCTCTTTTAGTAAGTGTTGCTTACATTACTCATGTCCTTACGTATTGGGGATCTTACGGTATTAAATGTGTTGATTTGGAAAGCTTTTGTACAAAGTTATATTGAAAAAAACCGTCTCGTCCTTAATTTTTGCACACCAGTGTAGAAGTGATACGTCATTTTAACGGGATTATGATAAGCAGCATATCCTCCGAAATTTTTAATAAACTTTTATATCATGTTTCTTATCAGATCAATTCAGCTTTGTAACCATCCGAACTGAGATCGGTATTTCAAATATACATGGATATTAAAGGGCGTAAGCAGGGTTGTGAAACCATTTATTTTAATACAGCCAAACAAAGACACATGTCGCCTGTTATATGTTAATAAATTTCACGACTAATTTTATCGTGCTAGGGCATAGATGCCGTAATATCAAATAATATCCTATAAGCAGTGGAAATCGCTCGATATAAACCTTGTGAAATATACAGCATGTGTATAACAATCTCACGCGGTCTTTATTTTCGCAACTGTTGGTCGTATGCATGTATCTCCAGTTACAAAAATGTTTTGAATGAAGCAAATATTCATATTAAGGCCTTTTTTTAATTGTGAAAACTACGAAATTTAGCATTTTATGCGGTCCCTTTGTCCATATAATATATAAAATCTTATTCTTACATGAACATGTAAAAAAACGTCGCATTGCCGTTTGATGAAAATTGGCTGAATTATTTGATTTTTAAATGTCATTATTTTTTAAAAGACTTTTCACTGCCAAAAATCCAATTTTTCGGCGTTTTTGAGGGCTTGGTTGAAAAATAATCTGAAACCGTTTTACTTCTTTAATACCATTCAGTGATACTCCTTAGTGGTTTAATAGCGAGAAGTATTCACTAATTCATTATTTTGTTACTTTAGTGATATCCAAAGTATTTGTATGCAAGCAATATTCGAGGTTTTAAATGCTGGAAATACGTCAATGCAGTCACATGCAGTTTTTTTGGATAATAATCAATAGCCATAGAAACTCGTAATAATACTCTAATAGCCATAAAGACTAAAAATATTTTTCAACTTTAATTTATGCGAATACTGTTACGAGTTGGCTATTTGCCAATACTTTAAGCCTGCCATCATTTTCTAGAATACGAATTCCATAAGAATTTGTGAATAAGATCTCTTTTTTTTGAAAAAATATGTATGGCTTAAAACAACGTTCCTTGACCCTCTACTTGTTAATGCTTGTCATTTAATCTATTATCACGAGACATGTTTTGTTAAACTGATATTTTATTTCTAGTTGTATGCAAATTTATATATTTCTCTTTTCAGTTTGTGTACGGCCCTTAAATTCCCAAGTAACATGATCTCAAGCTTCAGAACTAAATTTTTCAGCCAAATGTTTCTTACAGGAATCAAGTTTTAGAATGAGTATGAATTTTTATCAAACATAACAATATGAACCACTGGAAGAGAAAAGAATCGGTTTCGTAAGTTTTAGAAAATTGGGTTTTCACATATAAAAATCTAATAACACGAATATTTGCTTATTTAAAATAATTTTTCTATCTGGAAGTATATATCTACGACAACGGTTGCGAAAATACGAGTAAACCACAGAATAAAGGCCGCGTAAGGTGTGTGTGTGTGTGTGTGTGTGTGTGTATTATGGCAAAGTCTCTAGGGCTATCTGCCTAAGAGGAGGGATGCCTTCGTGGAGGACTTTCTAAGGGAAACTGGCTCGTATACACGTTACACATGGGGAAAACCACAAAAACACCCATGTAGCCAGCACCATGTAAGTGTAACTGGCTCGTATACACCTCACACATGGGAAAAACCACGAAAACGTGGATTCGAACCTCGGACCGAACTACCAGTGTTCAGCGACTTTACCGCTCGGCCGCTGGTGGGCCTAAAAGGCCGCGTAAGAATGTATACTTTATAAAGTTATTATTTAAATTAACCGGTTATTTTTAATTTTAGCCTATACTGTAACTTCTCCTTTCCGTTTTCCTCACCAGAATGCAAATAGGTAGCCAGTATATAATTGAGGTTTTTGGAATTAAAGACAGAGAGAGTATTCTGACTTTGCGTGCATGATACGCGTAAGTCTCTGCCAGCTCTGATAGTTGTAATTATTTGATTATTTGGCTTTGCGTTAGGTCGCTGCCGATACTTTGGTTTTAACCCTGTGGTAGAGTTACTGAGCCAGCTTATAGCAATATTTAATTGTGTAGTTTTTGACTATAGTTTCCCATTTGACTTGACTTTGACTGTTCTTTTATTTGCAGCACTACAAGCTGTGGCTGATACTATTAGCACAAGAAAGTGCGTTTATGTTGTAAATTATGTTTAAAAGAAGATTATTTAAACCTTCTCAAGACTTTGCAGTTACTTCAGACATAGCAATAAATCGCTTTACGTCCGTTGGAGCTAAGGGACTAATTATCAGCTTAAGATTAAGTAAAACCCCACAACTAGTTGTATATGAAAAAAAAAAAAAGGGATTTATATGAGGAAATTAAACGATAAAAGAGAAATTTTTCAAAAACATTACACTGTAAACTAACAAAATATTGTTTATTTAGATACCTAGAATTAAAAAAGAGAAACCCGGTGGTGCAGTGGTTAGCGCATCGCGCAGCAGCACCACAGGTCCGGGGTTCGAACCTCGGGCTGGGCAAGGTCGACTCAGCCTTTCATCCCTTGACTTCCATCCATTGGGTCGATAAAATGCGTACCAAGTTCGCTTGGGGACTAAACACTGGGGGTCCGGCGACAAGCTGACCACTTGTTACGCACCCCGGGGCCCACGGTCAAGAAAGCAGATTTAGGGCACTGTAGGCCTTGGCCCATTAGGGTTGTTTGTCCCACTGAGTTTTTTTTTAGAATTAAAGAAGTTATACAAAATATTAGTCAAAACTATTTTCGTTTTTTACACAATTAGTAAGAAGACTTCTAAATATTATGCTTAAAATATTTTCTTTTTTTTTATAATTCCTGATGGGTATTTTAATTTTTTAATGAATAGATTTTATATATATATATAATTACTCTTCTATAGCCCTTTCTTTTTTCAACGCTGAATGCTTAGACTGAGCACATAGATTTTTGCGACCGTACAGATATGACTACTGCTTGATTTAACTACTGCGTTTTGAAGAACTTATGTTAAGTCAAATTGCAGACAGTTCCGAATCTCCTACAGTGCTTTTCGATAATTGTCATCATGAGTTTATCTTATCAATGAAGCGAATGAGAAATATTTAAACTTATAAATTAATATTATTTAAAACCATTTTTTTTTCTCTAGCAAATGGTATCTTACTAGTAGTTTAAGATCGAGTAAAGAAAATAGGTAATAAAAGCAATTAGTATTTAGTCTAATTTCAAGTAACTGCTCAGTTGTTTATCACGCAGTATTTTAAAATGAGTTATTTAATCCATAGTATCTTCGATTAAAACCACTTTTCGAACCTCGTATTCTCAAGCCACTCCGTAATCTCTTCCTTGCGTAATTGCAAGTCCGCACACATCATTGCACTCCTTTCTAGCTAAAAAATGCTTTTTTTTTTTTTTTTTTTTTTGTAGTTTCTGGCAGAATTAAAGTCTCTGAATAAGGCTTAGCTTACTATTGCGACAAGATTTAAAATACCATCTTAGTGAGATGTAATTTATTTCACCTGATGGATTTAAGAAATTGATTTGGCATAGGAAATAGTTTTATATTTAGAAGTACTTTCTCTTATTACCCTTTTCTACAAATTATTTTTAGAAGTACATCCTCTTGTTACGCTATTCTAGATTCATTTGGTTTGACTGAAAATAAAGATTGAGGTTCCCTTCGTTGAAATTTTTTAATCACAGTTACTCAGGTTTATGAGATTTACTTTTATGATTCGAAGACGGAAGAAATTAAAAGCTGAATATACTCAGTTTTGGATTTATTCAGTCTTCGACTAGGTTTTACAAATGATGATAAACAAAGATTATTGTCTTTGGTTTTATAATCTGCAAGATTTTAAATGATCGTACATTACTAGAAGCTTTCTAGATTCTGTGTTAAGATACTATAAAATACTTATATCTATTCATAACGTTTAATACATTTTAAAATATATTTAGCTCTGGGTTCTTATCGGAACTGTAAATGGAAAAAGTTTAATTATATTAAGCTGAGTGGAATATGAACTCATCTCCTTTTAAAGTTATAACTGAAATACATCGTTATTTCTGCAAATGTAAGAATGATTTTCTGTTTGCATTTCTTGTAATTTGTGGTAAGAATTACCCAGGGCTAAAATTTATCTGGCAGTATTAATATAAACCAACTCTGTTACATTTGAAGGAATTCATATTAGCTTTAGTTTTAAACTCTACTCTTTTGTTTAAAATATCAGTTATATTTGGAAGAGATTATGATAGACAATATATTTATTTTGTTAAATGATCTTTTTTGAACAGATGAAGCAAAATCTCACTTGATCAGCAATGTTGTTGACAACACTTTGTATCTTGTGATGCACGTGATCTTGGGCATCGAAAAGCAGATTTTCGAGTTCGCACCGACAATTCTGCGACACCTTCTGGCCTTCTCGCATTTCTATAGCTTGAATCAAGGCTTCCATATCCAAATCTTTATCCAAATTTTTAAGACCATCAAGTACGTATTCCATATTGTTGATGTACAACAGCACCTGAAAATAGAAAATCTTAAGAAAGAGAATGAATTTTAGAAATATTTCAAATTTAGGTAATAATAACAAGAATATACTTTTAAACTGAATTCAATAAAATGAAGGAAAATTAATTGTAGTTTGCAGTAGCTTTTTTTGAAAGAGGCATTTGTCACATAAATCTGGCTAATGGCAAAACATCTTTGTCTAAAATAAACAATTATTATCCTCAAGTATGTATTCATTTTTGTCAAAAAGTTAAAAAAAAAAAAAAAAAAAAAAAAAAAAAAAAAAAAAAAAAATTAAATTTTGCAGTTGCGACCGTTTTCAAATTCTGAAATCTAATGGAACTGAAAAACTAAAATAACATGTAATTATCTAATTAATGCCCTGAAGGGTGCTTTAAGCTCATGAATCATGATAATTTAATTAATAACCCCATTTAAAATTATTAAGACGGAAACCTTTGCATGCTATAAATAATGATACCAAATTGTCTGCTGTCTGCGAATGGGTTGAGTCCTGAAGGTTTATGTGATTTTTCCCATGTGAAACTTAAATATGAGCTAGTTTTCCTTAAAAAGGACTCCAAGGAGACATCCCTTTTAAGGCAGATATAGCTGTCACATGAATCGCCTTAGTTAATCAAATAACTATTCAAAACTTTTCCGTAGGTTGAATGCCTAGCAAAAATAATTCAAGTTCGTTAGCATAGATTAATTAAACACATGCACACATGTGTACATACATATATATATGCATGCGCATCTTTGAGTTATAACCTTGAATACCAACTACTAGACGTCAAAGCTTCCGGAATTTCTCATTCCATTCCTTCAAAAATGCATTACAGCATGCAAAAACACTCAAATAACATTATTTCAGAGCTTTATTATTTATTGTGTGCAGAATAGTATAACGACTTTCAAAATACTGTTTGGAATTTGAATATGCAACCTTATTATCATGCTTCGAATCAAATACCTTCAACTCCACAATCTCACGATGTAAATATTTTTGAACATATATGCGAAGGAATAGAAAAATGTGTTGGAAAACTTGGCAAACAAACCAATATTCTTTGAAAAATGCTTTGTTGAAGGAATCTTTGAAAGAATAGAATTTGAAAAAAAAAGAGTTGAATGTGGAAAGATGATGAGGAACTGCGTGGCGATTTTATAAGAGCTTTATAAATTGAAATACTTTCTCCTAAAAAAGCATTCCATTGCAACACAGGAAACAACCTTCAGTTAATGTTGTGGTTTTTATTTGCTGATAATCAAGAGAATTTCTGGTTTGACTGATGAATGTTTGCAGATGTGACAAAAATTACACAGAAATTTCATTTTTCAATAATTTTTGCATTCAATGCAATCGAATCGCTTGTCTTCATTTTAAAATTTGTATTTACATCGAAACAATGAAACAATAAAATAAATTGATTTAAAAAAGGAAAAATACTTGTTTTTGGATTCATTGATGAAATGTCATTTTTCTTCACCGCTTTTGGATGCGAAAAATTCAATTAAACATGATTTTCCTGCATTTACATTTTTTACACAGTAAAATATTATCTATGTATGATAACACATCTAAGATCAGATTTTGCATTATGATATTATAAGAAAAATTAACCTATGAGAAGAAAAGCGTGTAATTCATTTCATAAAATCCTAAGAAATATGACCAAAGAATACAATCTTATCTCAGAAATAAAAATATTATCATTCACATAAATGGATCCAAATTGGTTCTTTGTGTGGACAAACGGTGAAAGAAAATAATAATTTATGTTTAAAGTAACATCAGTTTTTAATGCCTGATATTTTGCATTTCATCAGAATATAAACAGGTACAGGGACAAGCACGCAGGGCATCAGTTAGTTAATCAGAAGTATTCCAAGCAACAAATATAAATCTTACAGAGGTATTTAAGCATTATGCCATTTCACTTTTACGAATGATCTACATTAATAATAAAAAAGAATCTGGAGAGGTTTTTCATTTCTTAAAAAAATTCTGATGTGTACACCACATGACTTCCTTGTACAGAATATTAAATTATACGCATTTTTTCTTGCATTTCATTTAAACTTATTGGATTGAATTAAATCTACTTTGTCGATAGCGCATAAACCACAATAGAATAAATGCACTCTTTAAAATTCACTATATTCGTTTACCATAGCGACGCTCTGGCGTTAGGTTCACTTAACAGCGTTACATTTCGTCCATATTATAACTCAGAATGCATATAAATTTATATCATTTGAAGAATTATCTAATCGTTGCCACATGTTCTATTCAAATACTATAATAAGTCTAGAACGTTGTATAAAAGAAATTAAGTAAACAAAACAAAAAAAGAAACAGTTTTTCACAGACGATTTAGTATTTCTTATTCAATTAATTTAGTTTTCACTTCGCGACAGGGCAAAATTACATAAAAACTAAAAATATCTATATTAAAAATCACGAAGTACATCTTAAACACTTTTTTCCTCGAAAAAATTCCAGAAAGAATTAAGCATGATTTAATTCGCAATAATAAATGAAGACGTTATCTTTGTTGTTGCGAAGCTTAGTCTCTCTAGATTGGCAAACACATCTACTATTCTGCTGTTTCAAATGTAAACAAATATGTCCGCCATGATATTTAAAAATTAGTCTTAACCACACTTAAACAGCTTTTAAATTGTTGATAATTGTACAAATATTGCTTGCAGATTTACTAAAGGCGTAAAAACCTTAACCGGAAGATAAGAACAACATAATTCAATCATTTTTAAAGCAAAAAATGCACAATTTACAAACATACAAGAATAAAGAAACTGAGCTCACTGAGCCGAGTAACAGGGATTTGGATTATTCAATTATGGCAAAGCTCACGAGGGCTATCTGCCTAAAGGGAGGAATGCCTTCGTGGAGGAGGCATTCCTCCCTTTAGGCAGATTCTAAGGGAAACTGGCTCGTATACACGTTGCACATGGCGAAAAACACGAAAACGCCCATGCAGCCAGCCCGTTCGCGGGATTCGAACCTCGGACCGAACTACCAGTGTTCTTTACCGCTCAGCCGCTGGTGGGCGGAGCCGAGTAACAGAGGGGATAAATATATATATATATATATATATATATACTTTTGGTGTGGCCGATTGAAACCAAAATACGAGGTGCACATCTACATGTTACAGCAGTCCTACATACAACATTTCAACGTTCTGAGGCTACTCGTGCGCACAGACGCCACAAAAAATTCTCTTCAGATTTCATTTTAAATCAGTTTTAGAATTTTTTGCAGTCCTTTAATCTGTCTTTACTTGCGGATGTCACGCAAAAACATCATTAAATTACATTTGATAGAAGTCAAAATCGATATTTTCGCTTAAAGATGGTACCCAAAATGTTTCGCGATTATAATATTTCCTTTTTACTTCGTACAAGGAAGTAAAGAGAAGGGTTTTTCAGATTTTAACGGTCGCCCAAAAGGGTTGTAAGGTTTTTTTAAAAGCAGACAGGTGTATACACTCATTTCTGCTAACCCATTTTTTTCACAATATCTGCAACATCAAAAAATCAAAAAAAAAAAAAAAAAAAAAAAAAAAAAAAAAAAAAGTATGCAAATGTAAAAAAAAATTAAAAAATTTCAGCTCATCTATTTATCATATCAGTAAGAATCACAAATATTTCAATTCAATAATATTTTGTTAACATTACCAATCATGCCACTATGTCACATTATTCATCACTCGGGTGTTAAATGTTGCCCTACATTTTTATATTTTTTCAGTCTTTTCTCAGCTCATCATATCATTGTTCAGTTTTCTCAGTAAGATGACTTACAAAATTTTTCTTTCGTCTTTTTGTTATTAATATTTTCTCTGTTAACTTTATTTATTAAATATCACTTTCCAACTTATGCCACATAAGATTCAATTCAAAAGCAAAATCACAAAGTATTTAAAAACAGCATATCTTTAGAATTTCCGATAGACATTCTCGCGGGCTGGAGTTAAAAATATTTTATTCTGTACAGTATTGCCACAGCACTCTTTTAAATCGTTGAGTTGGTTAATCAAAAATTCATTAAAGTTTTACAAAATCTGAAATAAATGGTAAAAGAATATGTAACGTTTTTCCATGAAAATATTGAATATTTTTAATTAGATAAATCAGAATTCAATACGTTTTTATTATTTAAAACAATCCGATTCAAAAGTAAGAACTGAATGTTCTTAAGAATTGCCTCTATTGCTTTCACAGAGCTTAGTGTTTTCAATCTACAACAGACAGATTCAGTTTGAAAGACAAATATCTCACATTTTGCGTAATGACAACAGACTCGAATGAAAAGTGAAATAAAGCATTTATAGTGATTCGAAGCAAAATCCCATTTCGAGACTATTCCGTTTGGGATAAAGAAATGGGGTAAATATCGTTCATATTTGGTTTTATGGAATATCAGCGGAAGATTTATTTATGAAAAGCAGGCAGATTTGAGGGTGCTTCGACTGTCTACAGAGATGGTGAAAAATATGCATCAGGTTTTAGAAGACAGGCATACTGCTGCACATTACGACTTTTGAATCAGTTAGAGCAAGATGAAAAACCTCGAGCTTAAGTCTAGCGCTTTGACTATTTTAATATGTACAATACTGTGTTCGGATTGCTGCAATTAGATGCTTTTAGAAAATAATTAATATTGAAAATTTTTTAACTCTGAACAGCAGGAAATAATAATTATTATAAATAGTTTATATCTAATAGCTTTCTATCAAGCCTTCAGGTTTTAACAGGAAGTATGTCTAGTAACTGAATGCCTGTGAGATTCTTCCGAAATCTGAGAGTTACACATTTATTAAAAACTGCAAAACACATAACTGTTGCTCTCGTCTATGGCATTTTTGTGGAATCAAGGTATTGAAAAGTAATTAATACTGCTCTGAATTTAAGCGAATATAAGTAATTTTACTGTAAAGATCTCATTTTATTCTAACCAATTATTTTTAGTTTGACTTCCCT